CGGACGACCATTCCTTCACGGCGCTGGGGAGATCTTGGAAAATCTGCTTGTGGATCTCCCGCTCAATCGGCGCCTTGATCTGGCGGCGTCCATTCTTGATGTGCTTTCGAAAGGATTCCACGGCATCGTTCGTCTTTGCGCTCATGAACTGGTTTACCAACTCCTGGTAGAGCTTGTCTTTTTCCAGGACGGAATCGAGGCCCTCGGTTGTGAGCGAAGGAAAGACAGGAATTTTGAGTCGGGCCGCAGCGAGATGGCTCACTGGCTTCACCGCGGGTCCCTCCCCGGTCCACATCGCTCCGGGATCGTATCTCGATAGATCATTGCCGAGGTAGCTCGTTTCGGTAATATGGGATCCATCTCCGTGCACTAAGAGGCGCTGGGCGCGCTGGCGTCCGAAAACGTCTTCCGCTTGGGTTGCAAAGCCCCGGCGGAAACCATGGTTATCAATGCGGAAAGCAGGGAGACCTGCCTTGATCGCCGCTTTCTTGAGGGTTCTCCCAAATATGTCAGTGGTAGCCGGGACCTTGGAATCATCGAGGTGGCACAAGACTGGGTAGTCTTTGTATTTGGCATCGATCAGAATGGTTCGAGATCGTCCATGGCTATCGTGCAGCTGCAAATCCAGCGATCTACACCATCACCCCTCAGCCTTTTGCCCGCCATGGCGGTGAAGATCGCTCCACTTCCACTCGGCGTGACATTTCTGCGATATAGTCGAAGAGACCCGCACTCCGTGCGAATGGATTGCAAGGATGGCAATCTTTTCGCGCAATGCGGAAATAAATCCGGTAAACAGCATACCATCGGTCTCGGTGATGATCAATTTGACCTCCTCATGGCCAATACGATCACGGGGCTTCCGAGCATCACACCAGCGTGGATATGTTGCACACAGATCCAGAAAAAAAGGCGTCCACCCTCCGCCAGTATTCAAGCTGATCGTCTTTCGGTTTACCTTGAATGCCTGAAGAGATCGAATCCAAAGCTCAATGCGCTTGAGATGTGATTTGATGGATTGATAGCATTGGGCCCATCTGTGGTCTTGCTCGCATGGTGCTTGAGGACTGCTCGGGCTCCGGGGAGGCGGAACGTAAGTCAGGACCCTTCAATGTCACCAGTGCGCCCGGGCACTGACAGCGGAACTGAGCGCGGTGGGAGCGCCTTCGCTTCCGTCTCGGAAAGCTCATCCGGGTCAAGACTGGTGATTCTACGGCTGTGCTGGTGATGATAAAAGCGATGCCGGGTTAAATTTGACTGTGAGACCGACGCCGAAAGTTCTTAAAAGCACAGAAATCTACGCGTCGTTCTTGCCCTCATAACCAACTTCAACAATAACTAACTATCCATCATGACTTGTGGATATATTGTTAGTGACGTCCAACGAAACGACAGGTCCATCACCGCTCTGCTCAAGGTGAGTGGAGCTCCTCGGCTTCCTCATCTCGGACCCGGTAAGGCTCACAATCTTTCCGCTGCTTTGCCTTCACCAGAACCTGTCCAATTCACTAAAATTCAACCCACATTTAAAATAGATGTGACGGAGCTCTCCCTTTCCATTGCAATCGAAGCGCGTGATCGCCTTCAAGTTACTATCCAAGACAGAGTCAACCGACGCTGGAAGGTTCCGGATGCGGTCTTCCCGCGTCGTGCACCCGATATAGCACTGGATCTAGCCGATCTGCAGTACGTGGTTGACCTGGTTGAGGAAAATGGAGATGGAGATACCTTACCCAGGGTGCAGATCGTTGTGAAAAGACGTTCAGACTCTGTCATCATCTTTCAACACGATCTTCAAGACCTGGTGTTCAAAGAACAGTACATTGAGTTTGTGAACACGAGTGTTGATCAAAACGCCAATATTTATGGATTGGGAGAAAATGTCTCGAGGTTTCGAAAAACAAATGACGGTCAGTGCTGGACCTTATTCTCCCGTGGTAAGAGCGAATTAATGAAAAGAGAGAGGCGCTGGTAATCTCATTGCAGTCGTGTAGACGCCCCCTCTCCACCTTTGCAAAACTTATATGGATGCCATCCGGTATACTTGGAATTGCGCCAAGGGAAGGCTCATGGCGTGGTGCGTTCTCACCTGCCCTTATCCGCGTGCCCTAGGAGGAATAGCATCATTAACGTAAATGAAATGTCACAGTTCCTTCTGAACAGCAATGGCATGGACATATTTCTCAATCCCGATGGGATCACGTACAAAGTGATTGGCGGAGTTCTAGAGTTCTACATCATGCTGGGGCCAGAGCCGCTCGATGTTTGCAGGCAGTACACGGATATTGTGGGTAAACCTGCAGCTATGCCATATTGGACGCTTGGGTTTCATCAATGTCGATGGGGATACGAGACCCTGGATGACGTTAAGACGGTCGTGCAACGTTATAATGAAGAGAACATTCCGCTGGATTGCATGTGGTTTGACATTGAGTAAGTCTCTTTTCGATTGTTTAAAAGGGCCACGCCACGCCAAGCAGGCTGTTGAATTTGCTTTTGCTTGTCGTCGCAGTTACATGGATGAGATGAAGGATTTCACCTACGATCCTGTGAAATACCCCATCAAGGAACTCCAAGAATTTGTAGAATCCCTTCACGAGAATCACCAGCACACCGTTATGATCATCGACCCAGGAATCAAGATCGACCGCAGCTACCGCGTGTATACAGAGGGCCTCTCCCGCGATGCCTACATAAAAAACAAGAACCACGAAGATTTTGTCGGCAAAGTCTGGCCAGGCCGAGTAGTTTTCCCAGACTACTTCAACCCAGAATGCCAAGACTTTTGGACCAAATGCCTGGCCGATTGGTCGTTGCTGGCCAACTACGATGGTATCTGGCTCGACATGAACGAACTGTCCAACTTCTGCTCGGGAGAATGCCAGGACGATCTTGAGAGCCCGAATCGACCGGTCACGCTGGCGGACTTGAAAGGCGAGACGTCTGAAAACATCGGAGTTGCTTTGTTAAAAATCGCTGCAAAGAAGAGGAAAACGGATGTGGATCAAGCCGGATTGGAGCGCACTACCGAAATCGCAGTAGATGTAGACACCTCGATCAACGCGATGGACAATCTGAATAACCCACCCTATCGCATTAACAACGCCGGCACTAACGAAAATTTATTTCACATGACAACTTCCATGGACGCAGTACACCATGGCAATATTACAGAGTACGACGCCCACAACCTTTACGGCCACATGCAGTCCCTCGTCACCTTCCAAAGCTGTCGCGAAATCCACCCGCATAAGCGACCCTTCATTTTATCCCGAAATACATTTGCAGGCAGCGGCAAATGGACTGCTCATTGGCTAGGCGACAACGGTAATGTTAACCCAACCGACTTACAACCCGTGTTGGCATACCAATTCTCACCCACCCCACTCTCTGTCGCCTTTAGCCTCTACATTCGAATCCATGTCCTTCTCCATCCCCGGTATTCTCTCCTTCCAGCTGTTCGGCGTCCATCTCATTGGCCCTGATATAGGCGGCTTCAACTCTGACGCCCCCGAGGAACTGCTCATCCGCTGGATGCATCTCGGCGCCTATTACCCCTTTGCGCGCAACCACAACATCAAAGACGCCAAACCGCAAGAACCCTACACTTCGCCGACCCTCGCGGCCGCTTCAAGGCAGGCCCTGGAAATCCGTTACAGGATGTTACCGTATTGGTACACGTTGCTGTGGCGCGGATGGACGGTAGGAACCCCTGTGTTACGACCCTTGTGTTTTGAGCACCCACTGGACGAGGAAACCTATGGGATCGACAGCCAGTTTTTTGTTGGTCCGGGCCTGATCGTCTCCCCAGCCCTGGAACCCTCGCAAACCCAAACCAAGGCTTACTTTCCCAAGGGAACCTACTATTCCATTCACGAAATATCCGCTCCTCCTCTCACCGGCTCTCGCCATCACACCCTCCCTACCCCGCTGTCCTCACCCACACCCGCACACTACGTAGCCGGAACAATCATCCCGCTCCACCACGCCGCAGGGCTCACCACCGCGGCCACTCTAACCACAGGCTACGACGTCGTCATCGCTTTGCGCCCTGACGCTCAAGCTGCGACTGGTGAACTGTACCTTGACGATGGCATGTCCCCACCGCCTAATCCTGCTGTCCTCGTGCATTTCTCGGCCACGAGCACCGGATTGAGCGCGGTACCGGAACATGTCAATGAGGGATATGACCTACTTTCTACGGCCGTGCTGCATGACGTGGTGGTGCTGGGGTTGGAGACGCGGGGTAAGCATGTGCGCGCCACTGTGGATGGGAGATCCTTGGAAGTCGAGGTAGATGGCGGTTGCGTTAAAATTAAAGGCATTGAGAAGAGTTTTGCGGAAAGGTTTGAAGTTGATTGGACAGTGTGATAGTTATTTTCTACACGCATATATATTTGTTGTTCTGCTGTTACATGCATCCTCACAACATTTCCGCTGCATTTCGTTTTACACTTGAGGAATGATCTGCCGATACAACAAGGGTTGTCGGAAAATATAATGACAGATGGGCATCTGCTTTGAAGACTCTGACATGTATAACCTTCATGCGGCCACGGCGGTATCAAGACACTTTGCGGTGCTTGTTAAGGGGTGTCATGCTTGGGCAAACGGGGCAACAAGTTCGCAGTGTCCTCGTTGACAAAATTGGACAGCTTTGGGTTTTGGGAAAGAGGGCAGCAAATAGTACTGTGCAAAGGACACTCAGGAAATCCAACTGGACGTCATCAAGACCCCAATCCGCACCATCTTGGAGACGCATATGATAGCAGACAGTGAGGAGCACGCTTGTCGAACTTAGGCGGTTGTAAAGGTGGTGCGCGGCCGGTAGTGATATCGCTAGTGCGCAGCAAGGAGGCCCAGCGGCCCCAGCCAACGATGTGTTCCAAAACACATGTTTTTGACCCAATGGTATGTACAGATCTGTTATTTATCAGAGTAGAGAAGGCTGCCGCGATGATTGCACGGGGAAAGGCATCAAAGATAAAAACTAAAAGATGTGCCCTCACCAGGGATTGAACCTGGGATCTCCGCTTTACAAGAGCGGCGCCTTACCGCTTGGCCATAAGGGCTTGTGATATCTGTGCATAAATTTTAATTTACATACAAAATTTGAATTTATGTTAAAGGTCTCCCTTTCGGCAGCCTGGCTTAGCGCATATTTCGTTTCCAGAGAAGCAAGACTTCGCACATAGTCCTGGCCCCGTTATTTTATTCACTCGTATGCATACGTTTATGACAGGTAACTGATCGGTATGGGTTACAGAGGTCCGTACTCGCACTCATACATGTGCTCATACATGTACGGTCAACGAGTGCTAAGTTGATGTATGCGCCTTACAACATAAACCTTTCGTGTGACAAATACATAGTGGATCAAATTGTAAAAGTCTGTTTCGGTGCTGAACTTTGCTCTTTCCGTGTAGCATAAAGTGCTGCGATGTCGCTGGGATGCTTTGAGAAAGTTAATTTATGATTGTCATCAAAACTGCTATATGCCAACAAAAAAACCCGCCGTCTTCCAGCTCAGGTTAAAACGGCTTTCTCTCGGGAATCACATGCGCAAAGAGTTTCGATCCCATAAAACTCAGCAATGGGTCGTCTACACTCCCCAAGCAGCGGCCGTCCCACCACTCGCGCCGAGCCCACCCGCGGAGCACGCGACAAAACAACACTGCGTGCCCATTGCGCTCACTCCACTCTTCCACCACGCACTCGCAATGTGCAGCGGCAGTCGGGATTGCTGGCATGTGCTCTGGTTGTGTGCCGCGGATGGAGGTGGTGGGCTGGAAGCCAGGCTCGCATGTTGGGATTGACAGCGCAGTGAACTTGTCGGCCGTGTCGTGTCCGCTGGTGGATCCGACGGCGAGGAGGAGGGGTTGGAGCGATGCAGGAGCGATATTAAGAACTGTCGTAAATGGAGCCCATGCACACCATCGAGGGAAAGAGAAAAAATATACATGTTTTTCAGCAATACAGCCCTTGGCCGAGAATTCACCCACCAGCGGAGCCTTTCCTGTCACTATGTGAAACGAAAAAGAGCTGGCAAATATCGTCCATTTACCGAAAGCCATTGCACGGCGCACAAGCGTGCATGACCGCCGGTTAAGGTTGATCGAGCAGACAAAGCGGCCGTGGTTGTCAGTCGCAGTGATCCAGGAGATGGTCATTACATTGCGATCCCAAGCAACCTCCGCGGCCGCGGCCGCGTCTGCACCACTGTCTTCCGTCTCGTTACTCGCCGGGACCGCGGCCGCGACGGTCAGCAGACACACGGGATTTGGATAGAGCAGGCGGGAGAGCATGTGCTTTGGCACGGCTACGGCTGTCGACATTTTTAGCGGCGACGAGATCAGTACGGTGGTGGTTGGGCCACGTCACCGTCCGCTCTCTCATTTTCGCTTGCACCCTTTCAATCCCCGACCAAACAAAAATGCCGCCGCGCACCCGGCCGCAGGCCGTAAACAAGGCCACTGCACCTGCACCCACCGCCGCGCAGGCGCAAGCTCAACGAGAAGCTCCTGGAATAGACCTCTGGACGACGTTTTTATCGCTCGCGCGAGTGATCGCCATTTACTGGGTCTTCAAGACCGCTACCCGTGCGTTGAGTGATGAGTTGATTATGAGGGACACTCCGCAGTGAGGCTAACGATTCCGGGTGCCCCCGTCCGAATGTCTTTTGTTGTATATATACAGGATACTTCTTTGAAGGCCGCGCTGGCAACGCACCCGGCGGAACCTCACCCACGGTCCACCAGCCTGGCAAGGCTGCGTCTTCCGGACTTGCGGCAAACCTTTTGCCAATATGGAGTTTCGGCCAGCAAGCGGTAGGAAAACCAGCAATGCTTGGTTGGGCAATGTTTTTTCTTACAGCGCGTTACTTTTAGGACCTGAAAGCGTTCCTGTCGGAATCCGAATACCTCGACGGCCGCGAGACCCTTGTATGGGAGGAGACCGGCATTGTGTTTGGCGACGGTGCAGAGCGCCGTAAAGACATTGTCATTGACGTTCCGGAGACGGTACAACACAATGGATCGCTGTACGCTCATATCTTTTTGGCGCCGCGGCAACCGCCGGCCGGCGACCAAGACGACAGCAACCAGGTCATGGAACCGCTGTATACACGCAAATGTAGGGGATGCTGAAAGACAGATGGTGTTGCGGGCTCGAAGCTTGATCACCGTGTGCCAAGCTGATACGCGTGCGCGTCGATGTTTATAGTGCTTACAAGGTATATGCCGAAAAAGAAAGCGGTGACAAAGAAGAACCTTGTGAACAATGCGGCGGCGAAAAACGGGTCGGTGGAGCTTGCCGCAGAGGACGAAGAAGACGAAGGACCGGCGCCGATTGTCTCGTATTGGTGGCCAAACGTGACGCTCAACGTTGTGGAATCGGTGGATGCTGTGCCAACTCGAGCGCATCCGCTGATGACCAAAAGTAGGGGAAAAACAGGGCCGCGCAAGGCTCATCAAAAAGCAAAAGAAACACTGATTTGCTCATGCCGGCATGCTCCTCTCTTGGCTAGATTTGCGGATTGCGCCGGATGGAATGCATTATTTTCCCGTGTTTTTGGTGAACGATTTCTGGATGCTGCAGGAAAACTTGATGCCGATCAACGACACTGTCAAGTGAGCTTGGAAGGGCTGAAAGAGCACCCCGCTCGCGGCGCCCATTCATCCCATTATGCCGTGCTAAACGCCCCCTTCTGCAGGAAACTCAACGTCTCGCTTGCATACAGTCCGATTCCGCGATGGAAGTACCAGATGTATCAAACGTTTGAGGAAAACTTCCGCGTGCAAAACTCGATGATGGGCGTGGGCTCTGGCGAGACGGACGAGATGAAGCGGCTGTTCCTGGACACCAACCCGATCCTGCTGGCCGTCACGATTATTGTGTCGACCTTACATAGCGTGTTTGATTTCTTGGCGTTTAAGAATGGTATGATGAGAAACAGGGGAGGTGCATGGCCTTCCTGGCTTCGTTTTTTCATGAGCGGACCTTTTTTTTCTCAACTCTCTTTTTTGCTTTTTTCGTGTTTGTTCTTTTGATACCAGATGTGCAGTTCTGGCGCAACAAAAAGTCTATGGAAGGACTTTCGTTCCGCGCCATCATTGCCAACGTTGTGCAGCAGGCCATCATCTTTTTGTACCTGCTGGACAATGACACGTCGTGGTTAATTCTTGGCTCGTCGGGCGTCGGCTTGCTGATTGAGGCTTGGAAGATCAACAAGACTGTGATTGTCAAGGTATTGACGATAGCGGAGGAACATGTGTGTGTGTGTGTGTGTATGTGTCTACTTACCCTTTTTTTTTCGTAACCTAAGCGAAAGCAAAGCTTCCCGTTTTTGCAATTCATTGACCGCGTCCCACCCTCTAAACTCGTCTCGGAGACACGCAAGTATGACGAGATGGCATTCAAATACGTGTCGTGGGCAATGTACCCGTGTTTGGCGGGATACGCCGTCTATTCGCTGATTTACGAGGAGCACAAGTCTTGGTAAAGAAGAGATAAAAAATGGGAGGCAGAAACGGGCAATGGACTTTTTTGATTTAACAGCTTTTTACCTTTTTATCTTTAAAGGTATTCATATGTCGTGGGCACGCTGGTGGGCTTTGTCTATGGATTTGGTGAGTTTTCTTTTCCTGTTGTCCTACTTGATGCTTGCCTTTCCTTCCCTCCCCTTCCTTTCATTTTGCCAACGGTGTTTTTGTTGTGTGTTTTTTTCTCGCTCGCAGGGTTCATCAGCATGACGCCACAGCTTTTTATCAACTACAAAATGAAAAGCGTCGCACACATGCCGTGGAAGACATTCATGTACAAGGCGCTAAACACGTTTGTCGATGACCTGTTTGCGTTTGTCATCAAGATGCCCTGGTTGCATCGCATTGGTAAGTTAAAAAAAAAAGAGCTAAAGAAAACAAGGAAGCGTTTACTTTTGATTGACTTTTGATTTTTTCTTTTTTTTTCCCTTTTTTTCTGTCTTTAGCGTGCCTGCGCGATGATGTTGTCTTTTTGGTATATTTATACCAAAAATACATATATGGTGTTGATAAGCGGAGAAGGAACGAGTATGGGCAGGTGGGCGAGGAGGAGGAAGAGGAAAACGTGGCCGAGAGAGAAGATGCGGATAACAAGAAGCGTGATGGAAAGATGATTGCAGCTGTGACGGAGAATGTAAAGGAGACCAAAGTGGGCGAGAAGGAGGAGAAGGAGAAGGAGCAGGAGGCCGTGGCGGGTGAGGGCGATGTGAGCGTGTCGATGGGAAAAGCCCACAAGCGCAAGTGACCCTCTCTGCAGGTTTTGCAGGCCCTTTGGCATCGTTGGCATTGTTATGTATCATTAGCAATTTTGCATTGTATCGCTCTCGAAAATATAGATAGTAGGTAGAGATTTGAATTTTATTTTCTGCGCGGGGTATGCCCACGAACTCACAAAAAGAAAGGTAAAAAAGAAAAGCACAAAGTAAAAAAACAAACAAGAAGTGGGGGATAGGAGGGGTGGGAAGAGATGTGCCCCAAAAGTGGCACGCACAACTACGGCAGTCCGGATAGGCAGGGAGCGATCGCAGCGTCCTTGCAACGTGACTCTTCTAGCGGCGAAGACATGGTGTGTGTGTTTGCGTCATTTATTACTTGGCCTGGTTTTTGGGGTTCTCGGGTGCGCTTGCCCAGTTGGCTGGAAAACGGAGAGCGGGAAGGCGAGATTAGAGCTGCGCGGAAAGGAACCAAAAAAGTGGTTTAAGAAGTCCCTCTACTCACCAGCGGCCTTCTTGAACGCGTCCTTGTGCGCAATTGAGGGCTCCTTCTCCTTGACCTTTGCAAGCTCAGTCTATGGCAAAAACAAGAGAAGGCACGAGAATGGTGAGCGACTTGGACACGGGGCTGAGCCTTTTCACAAGGGTAGAAATCTTGCTCTTTCTGAAATATACCTTCATGAAGAGGTTGTACGGCGACGGTCCACGCTTGCCTTGATGGGGAAAGGCGTCAGAACGGGGCATCGCGAGTTGCAGATTGCCTTGGAGGCCCATGAGAAGATCGCGTCGCGCGTTTTTTTGTTTTTTGGAGAGGAAATA